CTGCCTGTCTTTATGAGTCACAAAATTAAATAGTCGCGATGCATCGGCATCAGTCGGCGACCATCGGCGGAATTCGCGATGCGTCGGCAACAGTCGTTAAAGAATATCTATCGTCGGCGATTATCGGTAACTGTCGCCGACTTAAGTCGCAAGCAGTCGCCGATATACTATCGCTCGTATGTAAGCTCCCTTACCTGAATAATGGATGAGACGGCCGCGTTGCGTGTGACCTCTGTCCTACATTATTGTAGACGGACCGGTGACATCACACCTGACTGACAAGGCTGGGGCAATGTTTGCCTTACTTGTCAGCCTTAGCTTTTAATAATAACAACGTTGGCTTTTTTATGTACCAGTTACAAAGGTAAAGGCACCTATTATAAACAAGGAAATGAAAGAGCGTACACTACTGTTATGAACACTGTACGACTAGACATTATATTTATCGTAATAGACACATCTTGAAAAGAAAAATATAGTCTGTAAATGAACCAAAACTTTAAGGTTTCATAAAGTTTGAATCAAGCTTGATCAAGAACTTTTACTTGCTTAAATTAATAACAATTTGGGTCTTCGTAGGCTTTCATGACAGAACATTTTAATAAGTAATTTAGGATATTTGCATTTGATAATTCAATTCAGTAAATCTCTCTAAAGGTATTCGAATAGGTAGGGTAATTCCAGGATACATGCCCCAGTGGGATAGGTGCCGCGATTTTAAGTACACTATGTTACAAGCAACTTAGCCTAAAGTTATAGTACGTATAATATAAAGGGACCTCCCCGTACCACTTTTCGCCTCGCAAACCATCAAAGAGTGCATTCGTTTAGCCAGTGAGAGCAAAAATCTTCCGCGGCCAGACCTTAGCGAGCGTCGAAATGATATTGGTAAGTATTTTTTAATGGATAATTTTTTTGGCAGCTGTAAAATTAAGCAGATTTTTATATAATTTGATAGACTATCTTATAAATTATACGGGATAGATATGTTTAATTCGACTTTTAGTGTTATTATATTTTTTATTAAAAACGGCACCTATCCTGTGCTAAAAGGATAGTTGCCTAATTTTTTTTGGGTATAGATGCCCTTAGGGCCATGTCTCATGCACCTAGGGACATCTATCCTAACCTGCTCTTTTTGTCACAGGTAGCAAGTAAGAAGAAAAAAAGAATGTAGTACGGCTAACCTTAGGAAAGTAAGTGCCCTTCTGATCGAATTACCTTTTTACCTGACTGCGCTAGAAGGAGTAGTATTATTTTTAATAAATAATATGAAATTTCATTTTTAATTCATTTAATAACAAACAATCTTAAATAATAATACTTGGCTTGTTTGATTTCAAAATGCATTTGATCCTTAGAATTCAAAAATTGTATTAACGAGTCATCTATCCCTGCATCAGGCATCTATCCTTTTTAAGCAATCATACAGTGAGTCTTCTATCCCCCACATTAGGCGTCTATCCCACTTTTTAGAGGTCAATTAAAATGGTATTTACTCAGAATCGGTATGACTTAAACTAAAAATAATTATAGTAATATCATAAACGAAAGACCAAAGTTTACAAATACTAAGTTCAAATCGTTGATAAAAACTTACTGACTGAGTTACAGAGCTGTTTCAAAAAGTGGGGCATCTATCCTGGACTTACCCTACATAAATCAATCATAAAACAAATCACAATACACACCGATGATAATTGATCAGAGAAAGATTATGAGGAAATAGGCGCATAAGGAAAACTTACCACAGTTATGATTTCGGGCTTTCCCGTAAATAATATTACAGAAAAACTTGTACACGGTTGACTTGTTGTTTTACTCAACTTTATCGTATTTGGTATTCTTCCGACGCGCGTCATAAAGAAACTTTCAGGAAAGGTGCGCGGCTGTTCGTTCAGGTTTACGACTTTGACACACGTTGGCTCATAAAAAATCTTTGTAAATGTACACGTTTTATGAGGAACAAAATATTTTTTAGGTTGCTTTACCTTTTGTGTTTATAAGGCCTCTTTTAAGATTGTGATTCTCTGTTTGCTAAAGTTATTCAACTTAGTTTTTGAACAAAAATTGGAATCATTTGGGCAAAAAGTTTGAAGCTTAATCAAAGCTTTGTCGTCGTAATTAGCATTTATATTGTTATCATATTATTATCAGGCTTGATTTGTGCCTGTAATTTTCTTATAGGCGGAGGTATTTTGCGGTTACGTCTCCTGAATATTCATGTTACACACTCCGTATAATTTCCACTTGCTGGTTATTATGGTAATGTTATTTTTCACAATACAAACATAAAGTTAACATTAATTAATCAATACATTGAAGCCGAGATATCGTAACAGATTTTAAGAATTTTTCAGAATATGAAATAAAGTTCAATCATAAAATTGATTACATACCTTTTTGTCTTTTCAGCTCCGTCAAAAGTCATCAGCTTTATTACGCGTATAAAGCCCCGAGCTCGCCATGTGTTCAAAGGTCTGCTATCCAATATCATATTACAGTCTATGGATTACGCTGGATAGCATTCTTGTTGCTATAATTCCCGTACAGGTGCGGGACTTTCCCGGAAACGCTCGCCGACCGTGCCATTACTTTTATAGCCTTTCCATGTACCCGCTCTTAATAAAGATCGTATATCTCCATTCATGAGGCATTAAGATCTATGAACGCGTATAAAGGTAAACGAAAATATATTTTTTATTTTCTTAACGCACAATGTGTATTTAGGGCGGAATTCGGAGTGGCTTAATGGTTGATTTAGGAATGAAATAAATGTTGTTTGGGATAACTATTGCCAAGATATTACAGTAAATGGCAAAGACAAATCAACTCTGATTAAATTAATAGATGAATGTCAGAAACACTTATCAAAGTTCTGATAAAAGCACTCGTCGCATCTTAAGTACTTCGGTTTCTGCCAAATAACTTTCAAGAACTCACTTTCAAAATTGTATTGGGTTTTCAATATAATAAGCAAGAATACTTGTAATTAAAACTCGAAGTTAGCCAGAAACCCGCTCTCGAATTGTTTCAAAAGTGTAAATTCCGAAGTTGTTACAAGTAATATTGATAAGCATACTCGTTGGGAAATTAAGTTGGACTTTGACGCGACTCCGCGAGGTGGCGGTAAAGTGTTCCGCAAATATTGGCTGCGCCAAGTGGCTTGGAACTTGCGGTATTCCAAGACTTATGCGAGTATCGTCGGAAGTTTAACTCTTGAGGAGGAAAAAAAACTTCCCGGTAAATTATAGTAGCCATGCATGCACCTCACTACCTACTTACTTTATTATTATTATTATTGGTTTTTGGGCCTTTACTTGCGCCAACTCGACCAGGTTTGATCTAATGTGGCAGCCCTTGTCTTTAGAGTTCACGGCTTAGTCCCGTTGAGTCTATAAATTTCCAGATTCTTTGGAGCGTGATATCTGCTATCTCATCCGGGTGCATGATGTGTCGCCCTAGATGGATACTTCTTTTGCTCATAAGCGGGAAGCATGAGCAAAGAACATGCATGGCCGTTTCTTCTTCTGTATGGCAGAATCTGCACAGAGTTTCCTCGGTCATGTTCATGTTTGATTTATGTTTGTTTAGTTTGCAGTGGCCGGTTAGTATTCTAGTCACTGCACAGGCTTTGTATCTTTTGAACTTTAGCAGTTCCTTATCAGTCAGTTAGGACTTTGCTAAAGTTACTTTGTTGCTATATCCCTGAATGAGTGCTTTTGAGTGTTTTTGTCCCGATGTAGACTTCCACCACTCAATAGCCTCTTGTTTGCAGAGGGCGGTTAGTAGCGTGGTGGCTCGTTGTTGGGTAATGCCACAGAACGGTTCTACGCCGATTTGAGGGTTATCGGCTCCATCACTGGCGAGTTCATCTGCTACTTCGTTTCCTTCTATATTCGAATGTCCTGGTACCCATGTAAGCGTTACTTTGTTGGTATTTCCCAGTGCATTCAGTGTCTCGGTGTATGTTTGCACCAATTTTGACGTGTAAAAATCGATTATCGATCTATATTACCCTAAAATCGATATAATCGATCAATATTAACTGTAATGGGACTATTCCCACCTATATTATTATAATAATCTGAATTACACATTTAAACTTGATATGTTGGAAGTATTTGGTAATTTGGAAATGTAAACTACAAATTATATTTACATAGGTACCTTGCCTATTTATTAATTCTATCCAATTATGGTTTAGATCGTTCAACACCCTAATAATCAATCCCAGTTGATCATAATTATTACATAATCACCTGCAATATTGCCACAAAATGATACTTAGTTGCAATGCGTACACTTCAATTGAACTTGTCAACAATACGTTCTACGAGCAGTACCTACTTAGGGTGTTATTCGAAATTTTGTATCAGAATCAGAATTTTATTTGCGTAAAAACATGGTATATAAAGATGTTACATGGTATATATAGAATTCAGTAGTGCACATGTTTCGCCATTACAAATAGCATGCAAAATTACCGGAAAATGTACACGCGTGGACAGCAAAAAGAGCTGAAAAATTTTATATTTAAAAATATGAGGAGTCTGCAGTCCGCACCAAACCTTCATTGAGCTATGTAGAACATTAAGCTTCAACCACAGATGTCAAAGGTAAATAGTAGGTACTTACCTCACGCTAGCAATAACAATTTTGCTATGTTTCAAAGCAAACCAGAATGAAAATGTTTATAGAATTTTTCTCTTTCATTGGAGACGTTTATAAGAAAAATACCGTGTACTTTTTTGAGAGACACGGACATTATTTTTCATTTCCCAGTCCATAGAGTCGGGGAGAGCGTAAGGTGGATATATTTTAAGCAGTTTATCGGCTTTCAACTGGTTTAGTGGCTCACGGAATGTTCAGGCGCGGCTTACGGGCCATAAACAGCTGGCGGCGAAGGATTCAAGTAAATGAACAAATTGTTTTTATACCATTTATTTATCAAAAACCTTAACATCTATCGTTACTACATATTCTAAATTTAATCATAAATAAAATATCAATAACACGAAAACTACTCGCCTCTTCCGCTGTCATTACATTTTACATAAATTGTTACCTCTATCAATTTATTACCGTCTCTCCTCCAGCGTAATCTCTTTCCTCAAAAATATAAATATCATAAAAATAAATTCCATTAAATGTTACATTCTTACATTAAAATGATATGGATTGTGAATAGTTTATGAATAAATTATTATCTAGTGTTAATGATGCTATTTCCGACATCAAAATCTATGGTGTTTATTTCTCTAATACCTCAAAGATGTATTTGGCAAACATGTAAAAGTCTGTATAATTTACCGTTATAATAATTAAGTTTTAAATTAATATTATGTGTGTGTGTGTCTTACGTAAGATATAGCTATGCTATTAATACGAATTGACTAAGTTACTTTTGTCTATTTTATATCTACTGAGTATGTAATCGAAGCGTCTGTTGTAAACAAGCGTTAATTAATCACATTAATAAAATCAATACCTAACTACTTCATACATTAAATTCATATCAAACTATGATGTGCATGTAAGACAATAAATGTAACTATGTAGTGAACATAATGCGCTTTATATGACTGACAGCGCATGTCGGGTATCAGCTAAGTGCACTGTGCCATCACAAATAAGTGACCATGACCTACCATTCTAATTCAATTAGATGTTGTAGTTTCAGTCAATATTAATCGAATTCCTCTATGGCAGTCAAAGTACGTGTGTAAATTGTGATGTGCTTAACCTAGTATACGGAAAGGGTTAAATTTATTCCGATTGGGTGGTGTTTGCGGTCTCCGAGACCGGCTGGGTCGATGTATGGGCTCATTAGCAGCCGATAAAAGCGGGGATTGGAAGTCGTCAATAGTTTGTGAAGTGTCTGTGGTATTAGTTTCCAACATATCTTCAGGCTCTGTCTCGGTTTCATCAATGTCTTTGATAGAAGGAATTGAAGTGCTTGTCAGTTCAAATTCCGTTTCATTGCTTCTCCCAATGTCCGCGGTTATGTTCTCATTTGTCATCGTAGTTATGTGGATAGGACTTACAGAGGTCGTAGATAAGTCAGTTTTGATAGTCAACTTATCATTCAATACATTGCCTGGAGTCGGTTTAAATGTGCTCAATACTAAATCACGTAATGGCGTTGTTACAACACTTTCTGCAGTGGTTTCTGGTGTGAGTTTTGTAGACGATATATCGGCTGTTATAGGACTGCTCGTTGGTGTTTGATTCTCTTTCGGGCTGCTTTTGATTGTCGGTGTTGAAGTTTCGGCATTATCATCTTCAAACACTGGTACTTTCGTTGTGACTTCAAAAACCAATGGTACTTCACTAGAATTCTCTTCCTTTACTATTGTTATTTTTATTACTTCGTGAGTCAATGTTACATTATGACCAGATTTTGTTGGTATTTTCACTGAAATTTCTTGCTCTATTTGCCCTTCAGAATTTTCGGGATTTGTCAATTTAACTTCTGGTTCACTTACAGAACTGTCATTTTGTATTATTTCAATTTTTGGAATTTCACTGGAATGGTTATTAAAATTACCATTGTTTTTAAGTTCAGGTTCCTTAATTATCACAGTTAGATCGATCGTCGGTTCTTCTTCCGATTCATTATCGCTATAAGCACTAGTCGTGTACTTTGTTCTCACTTCATCATCTTTTGGCCTACTTTCCGTTGTTAAAGTTGAATTGGTATCTGCTATTTTTTCTGTTTTACTTGGTTTTGTTTCCATAGCTTTTAAATTTTTGACCTTAAGGCCGTAATATTTATCGTTATACTTCTTTGGGATAATAGTTTTGACTAAATTCTGTTTTACCTCTTCTTTTAATGTACTTGAATATGCTGTAGTAATTATGGGTTTATCGGTTACATCATCAATTTTTAGTTTATTTACAATAACTTTTGATTCAGTGGGTTCAACTTCCGATGCCAGAACTTGTGGGTGCAAATGTTTAGAATAACGTTGTTCTGCGAGTTGTTGTGCATGTTTCTCTTCCAGAGATAAAACGGTCATATCATCGCTAATTTTTGCTTTGGCCATAACTAGAGGTGGTACAAAATGATCAGTGGGTTGAGTGAATATTGTTTCGAAGTTGCCATGTCTGGCAAATTCATCGTGTAACAATTTATGTTGTGAGTGCTTATCATCCTCTAATTTTTCTATGTCACTGGAAAGAGAATTATCACTACCTAATTTTGGTATATCATTACTCAGCATATTATCCCTGAACGTAGCATCTAAATTAATATTCTTCTGGATATAAATGTGGTTATTTTTGTTAATTTTTTCTTGTTTAGACTGATCTACCAAAGATGGATTATTAAATGTCAGCAGAGTTGGTTTTATAGTGCTGGATTGGTTAATATCATCCTCGTGCTCAGTGGTTGTGTTTTCTTCCGTAGTTACTTCGTTAAGATCTTGATCAGTAAACAAGTTTTCGGAGGTTACGGTGGAAGTGGCGCCCGTGGGGACCAAGCCCACGGTACTGGAAGGTTCATCTTCTTCAGCACACGACAAATCTCTTAAAAGGTCTTCACGTTTCTGCAAAGGACACAGGGGTTGAAAAAAGTTATTCTAGAATTTAATGTAAAGTAGAAATGTTAAGAAACAGGAATACATACCACGTTCCCAGTGCATTGGACTCTCTTGACACCAGCCAAGCCACAATCGGCGTTTAGTTGTACAGCAGCGCTCTCAGGCAAGTACAGTACAGTCAGCGCTGGCAAAGCTTTCACCATGCATCCTTCGTTTCCGAGCGCCCATTGCGGTACTGCAAACAAGATCTTTCATAACTACATTTATCTATGTATAATTAAAACTTTTAATACTACATAGTTGGTGGGACAAGGACCACTTCTTAGTTTGAGAAAGAAAAATCCAAACAGATGTCGGCACGTCAAGTAAAGACTGCAGTAGGTAGGTATCCTAAGTATTTGTTGCAACTGATACGAATTTTCAGAAAAAATTGTCTGATGCTATATCAATGACAAAAAAGTCTATAAAACAGAAAAATTAGTTTATAAATTACCAGGCAGTTCACAGATGAAAGATGCGACAGTGGGTCCACCACAAGCCCTGGCCTCCCAGCGGTAGTCCGCAGCGGGGTCGGCGGCTGCGCACAGCGGCGCCGCCCGCGGGTCCGGCGCGGAGCTCCAGTAGCCATCGCCTCCGAGACCTCGGTAATCACTGTGAAAAAAGAATCACATTCAAAATCCTGTCAAAATTAAGACTCCAAACTCCAAACCTATCGCTTTAAATTCAAGTCGGTTAATTTGAATAACAAAACATTAGATAAGGAGAGAATTTGAGGTTTTGGCAATGTCAACCTGAAAACGACAGCCAAAGCGAGATCGTGGAAGTATAGGGCTTCGAGGAGGGTAGGACCATCCTACTACCGACACGTATTACCGTTTCATAGTAAAATATTATGTTACAGCCTTTAGAAGGCACATAATGAAATGCGAATTTAATTTCGAAAGTTTTTATTTCAAGTGCAATGTTACTAAAAAGTATTTAGCTACCCAAACTCTCNAAACTCTCCATGAACTTCGTAATTTATGCAATTTACTTTCATGGCTACTGTAAATTAAACGTTGCAAACTAAAAGGCAAACACATTTAATTTTCAAGTAAACTTGCCCGCCATATGCAAATCTAAACACGCTAGAATTCTCATTCATTTCCGACTTTCCAACTTTCAGCTATGCACTTCGCGTAAACTGCTCAGCGCAAATACCAGCACAAACACAAAGTAGCGTTGCTGTTAGCCGCTAACGTCGGTTATTTATGAGTTTAAATCAAACATTTATTCAAGTGTCCTTAGCAGACTGCTCAACACTACATACCCTGTGATGCACTTTATAAAATCAACTTACAGGAGCTACACATAAGTCATATTGTACCTACTTACGAGTACATCCCCTACAGACAGCTGCCAAGCTTTTAACCACTGATGTTAAGATATTCCAGAGTAATAAACTTATCCTAAAGTGAAGTCTGGATCTAGGCAACTGCCTTAGTAGAAGATAGCGTTTCATGCAACACGCTTGCAAACTCGTTAGTTAACAAATATCGTCCCTTTGGTTGTTACCGCAAACATGCAACGGCTAGTTTCGTAAACTGCTGTCGACAGGACTGCCTAAACGAGGGAAGGTCCTTCCCAAAACGCAATTTGGTCTCGTTATCTGTCGGGTTTGACCCACTAGAATGTGACTCAAGCATTGGGGTAAAGTTTTTGCGTTGTTTCGACCCGTTTCGCGTGTCACTACGAAGTAAATGTTTATTTTCAGGTTTTTAGAGTGTAAAGTCAACAGACTTTGAAAGAAATATTTGAGGTTTACGTGTAAATTACCATATTATAGCCTGACATTATTATGTCCTCAAAAAGTTTTACATTGACGCCATTAAAGTTGCGATAAAGCTGTTGTAACCATGTAATGCAAATAAAAATTAGGATTTGAAAATCAGTAAAAGGCTGACTTTTTTCTCGTGGCTAATATCTACGAGTATCTTAAAAATCATTAATTAGTTTCCTTATTAAGTACTTTAATTACTTATTGTGAGCCACAATAACTTGCAGATGATTCTTATTGCACAGACGTCATAATTTTTGACTCGTCATTAATAAGAACGCTCTATCGATATCCTATGATTATTATTTCTATAGAGCTGGTTTCGATTGATTGATCTGGTTAACTATTGAGTTAGTAGGTATATTTTAGCAGCTTAAGTATACGTACGTCCAAGTGAAGTCCCCGTCGGGGTTGCTGCGGATCAGGCCCACCCACACCGCGCTAGAGATGTCCAGCTCCTTGAGGTACGCCCGCACCGCGTCGTACTGAGCCGTAGTGTCCACTGCAACAAAGAAAGACGGTTAAAAATGTGAAATATGCCAAGGGAACATAATATTGTAGTACACACTGCCACACTGTCAACTATCCATTTCCGTTTTTGCTCTAGCTCTCATCAAATGGTGACTCTACACGTTAGAACGAGACGACATGATCGGCAATGGGTAGTTAACACTGTTGCCGATAGAACGTAAAAATATACTTTATAGCTAGTTCGTGGTGTGAATGTGTGATCACAACTTTATGAAAATGTTACGAAAATCCTCCTATTATTTTGCAGCCATTCGAAAGTGTTTTGATGATTGGTTACATATAAGCCTAATAAGGTTAAGATTATTTAATTTAATTATGTAAGAATTATTTATTCGCTATGTTTTTTCGCTAAAGTTTCCTAGATTTGGCAAAGAAAAAAAATCTGATACATTGTTTGGGTGTTAGTTGAAAGGAAGTATTGGGTTAAGCTCCATTGTTTATAACTTTAATGACTTATGTTAATAGTTAGTGTTATCTTATGATCTCAATTAACTGAAGTCAATCAACATTGTTATTGCATATCGTCTAATATGATTTGTGATATTGTTTCATGTTAATAACATGGTTACTGCAGTAACTTATGTTAGGCTATGTATTATATTCAGTTCAATCAAAATAATACTTAAACTTAGTAATGGTGAACCTAATGTTGTGTGGAGTCCGTGCATTAACGGATACATTACTTATTCCCGCCATTTTATATTCTAGAATGTTGTGCTTCGTAACTAGGTACATAATGTAGCTACAAATAAGTATAACATGGTACACGAGTCGGAACAACGTAAATAAACCCGCCTTTTAAGCAATGTGCAAAAACAACAACCACAAAACATACACCGGAGCGACGACCATGTCTACCTATTTCATTTTTGCGGTAATTACCTAGCTACCTGTTCGGGCGCAGGCGGCTGCACTTGCATTTTGCTCGGTTTTAATAATAAGCCCCGAAGTGCTTTTATGTTTTAAGCTTTATTCCATTTTCAAGGATTAAGGATTCCATTGTTAAGGCTAGGATTTACCGCCTCGATGCCGTGCATTCGTTTACCTCAGCCCCCGCACACCTCGCACTGACACTCGCGCTGACATTCGCGCGACGCGATGACGCCACAGTGTAAAAACAAGCCGTAAGTTGGATTAAACCGTAATCTTCAAATAGTGAATAAACAAATAATAAAATTAAATATCCTTCGACATAATATTTTAACACTGCGCCTCTAGTCTCAAACTAAGCAAAGCTTGTACTATGGGATATGAACATACTTAAATAACATAACATAAATAAATACATAAGGTTAGAAAACACCCAGCCCGAAACAAACATTATTATAATGTTCATGCACACAAATGTTTGTCAATCAATAATGTCAAATGAAAGATGATATTAAGTCAAACAAATACTTTTACTTTTTACCGACAAAAATAGTAAATGATCACAAAAATGTAAACTCCATTTTAATATGAAATATGTACTAATGTTCTTTTACATTTGGCTATTATATTTAAGCAAATGACTCTAAATTAATCATTGTAAACCCAGAAATAGTAAAAAATCCTCAAAACAACTTGCCTAGAGGTCCTCTTCTGCCCTTTTAGAATTTGTAACTCAGATTCAAGCAGTAAAATAATTATTTATGGTATCAATTAAATAACTGTATCGCCATCTAGTTTTATAATTCAGCATGTTTAAATATTTGTGAAACATCAGAATTGATGACTCGCCTTATATTCTTTCATCATAAAAAAGTACCTAAAATTATCATCTAATTGTAAATTATGGCAACTATTTCCTCATAATTATTTGAAAATATAAGGCAAAAATGTTTAAGTTTTACAAAACTATGAAGAGCAGATATCTCGAAAACCATACAAGATAATTATTATCGAAAAACTTGACTGATAAAAGTAGTAAATTAAATGAGTTTTCATTTTGTTGCAATNTGCATTCTTTAGCTGATTTCCTTAGATCATCCCTTTCTTGCATAAAACAGCATTGAGTTTCTTGTGCCAATATATCATAGAGCTCCAAGTCCTCCTTGTTCTTCATTCTGGTTCCAACCAACAATTCAAACGGGGTGGTTCCAATACTACGCTGGAATGTACTATTAAGTGCTCTCTGCACTCTGCTCACATGCTTATACCACGCCATCGGTTCTGAAATGCAAAGTTTAGTTAGTACAGATATAAGAATTCTATGAATCCTCTCCACCTGCCCATTTCCACGGGGTACACCTGTGGTGATTGTGACATGTTGTATATTTTCAGTTTCACAATACTCCTTGAAATCGCCGCTAGTGAATGCTGTACCTTTATCTGTTATATAACGTGTAGGATTACCAAAAGTCTGCTGCAAAATTCGAAGTTTATCAATAGTCTCTCTGCTGGTTGTACTCTTGGTAGGAAATAACCACACAAACTTAGTAAAAGCATCAACTACTGTCAAAATGTAATTATACATCTTTTTTGTTTCACATAGAGGACCTATATGATCACAATGTAAAGTATGCATTGGAATACTCGCTTTCTCAATGCAATTCAGCCAACCTTCTTGTTTACCTGATTTTCTGGTTGCTAACAGGCATGGAATACAATTCAGTATAAACTGTTCAATCTTTTTATCAAGGTTCGGAATAAAATAATCTTTAGACAATAATTCAATCATTTTCCTCTTTGAAAAATGACCATTCTCATGTACTCTCCTAATAACATCGTTTTCCATACCTCTAGGTATTACTAAACATCTTTGCAATCCCTTGTACAACAAGTTTTGATCCAAAATGTAATCTTCATATGGTTTTTCTTTCAATATTTCCATGATTGCTTTCAAACTTTCATCATTAGCCTGNGTTTCACACTCCCACATGTATTATATTCAGTTCAATCAAAATAATACTTAAACTTAGTAATGGTGAACCTAATGTTGTGTGGAGTCCGTGCATTAACGGATACATTACTTATTCCCGCCATTTTATATTCTAGAATGTTGTGCTTCGTAACTAGGTACATAATGTAGCTACAAATAAGTATAACATGGTACACGAGTCGGAACAACGTAAATAAACCCGCCTTTTAAACAAAGTGCAAAAACAACAACCACAAAACATATACCGGTGCGACGACCATGTCTACCTATTTCATTTTTGCGGTAATTACCTAGCTACCTGTTCGGGCGCAGGCGGCTGCACTTGCATTTTGTTCGGTTTTAATAATAAGCCCCGAAGTGCTTTTATGTTTTAAGCTTTATTCCATTTTAAGGATTCCATTGTTAAACTGGGAACTTTACAAATACTATTCAACCACATTAACACGTGCAGATGCAGATCGCCATCGCCGGCGCGATCAAAGGCCAATGACAGGTCGCGCGACCCATGACAGTTCATGCGACCTGTCTTTTCCCTATGATCGCGTCGGCTATGGTGATTTGCACGCGTTGGTGTGGTTGAAGGATTAGTTGTTGAATGATCTGCTACCTTTATTTTTTTTTTATCCACGACGAGAAAACTCTTAGCCTGCATCTCACCTGATGGAAAGTGATTCCGGACGGATTGAAGCTAAATGTGGACGCGAACAAAAATGTACTTGTCTGAAGTTCTTTCAACAATAATTTGCAGTGTAACAGACAAGTAACAGGCTAACAGCGCATTGTATTCGTACAGCAACACGCGTATTTTCAATGTCCATGAGCTTGAAAATAAATACTAGAACTGAAAACAAACATTGCCACTGCGATGCCTATTTCATTTTTGCGGCAATCACCTCGGCTGCTGTCCGTCGGCGGATTGCACCTGCATTTTGCATTAGCGCAGCGCCCGACGCCGCATAATACACCGGCTCTAATAATAAGCCTCGACGTGCTGTTATTACTGCCGTATATTCTGGACAATGCTCAAAATTTAGTTCCAGAGAAATTTTGAAATTTACCGTTACCTATTTGCTTGCAAAGCTTTGAGCTTGCATTACAAAATTACGCTCCAAACTTATATTCAAATACAGATTGGATCCTGAAATCTAAATATGAAAATACAGGCTTAAGATCGAACCGAGTTTTAAACGTACCTACTTTCATAATACAGGCCTTTGGGATTATCTACTCATAAAAAGACCCCTAACGACTTCACTCTAGCAATCAATCAAGCAAGCAATTTTGGCTTTTACACATCATTCGTCTATTGTTGAACCCTGTAGAGGACTATGCCCTCAGTCAGTCAGACATGACACGAATAAATTCACGTTTCACTTTTTAATTTCATTTTTGATTAAACTTACTCAAGTTATAAAGCCCTCTAGCTCGGTACTAATTTTTAGTAAGCTTTTATTATCTTTCTTAATTTAATAAATATAATTTAAATTTAAGAAACTCATTTACTTTCCACGTTTATTGAGAATCTCAATAAAGTAAAGTACTTACTTATATTATGAGTAGTTACCTACTTATTCGAAGAACTCTCGAAGTAATCCAACAAGTTTGATGAGATGCTAATCTATTTTACTTCAGAATCTATCAAAATAAATCAATAACGACCTAAGTTTGCCCAAATAAGGTCAACAGATTTGGGTATCGTCTGCGACCTAGCTCGCCCCAGACATCTGGGCAAGTAGACCGACCTCTGCTATGCTTCCATGAACTTGTTTAGATTCTCACTAGAATACAACTGTCTTTAGAAAGGATAAAGTAAGCCTATAGAACATAGAAATACGTATCTTTACTAAAGTGCTTTTAATGAGACATCGAGCATGTCCTTTGTACCTGTATTCATGTTACCTCTCATAGTGACATCATGACATGGCTCAGTTGTAACAGGTGACATACAATAGCTTAAACGTGCGTCAATCTTTTTATTAGTTAACAAAGGCACAACAATACATACTAGTAACAATAAGTAAAAATGTTTTTTCAATATTGTTTCAGTAGGTAAGTTTATTCTCTTCCAATTCACCCTGTTGGTGTCATCTGCGATCTATCTTACCGCATTC